TGTAAAAAACAAGTGTTCCAAGCTCTAAATGGTTGAACAATAATGTGCATTTGATTGCTCTGAGCTTTGCAAGCGATTAAGAAAAAGGGTTAGAATTAAGTCATGTGTATGAAGACCATCAAAAGGAAAGTGTTGTTTAATTTGGTCCCTGAATTAGTCTCAAAAATGTCTACATGGACATTTGGATTGAAGTTACCTCCAAATAGACCAACCTGGATTGGAGTTACCTCCAAACAGAACTGTTTGGAACAAAAGCCTCAAATATAGAAAGAGCTGTAAGAATCTGGTTTATGGGCCACTCCACAGCTTTTAAGACCCTTGTCATGTCTCTTGGGACCAATTTCTCCCTCTTACTTGGCCAAACTTTGATACTAGAATAAGGAAAGAGAATAAAGTACTACTAGTAGCAGTAACGGATGTTTCTTGAGCACTGATTATGGGCTGGGCGCTGTGCTTTTCATACATTCTCACCTCTACCAATACAACATTCTACACAGGGGCTCTGTTTTGCTGAGGAGGAAAGTTAACTTGTGCAAGGTCACACAGCTAGCAAATGGCTGAGGTAGAATTCAAAATGAGACATGCTTGACTCCAGAGCCTGTGCTTTTAATTGGACATACACAAAAAGGTCAAGTTTATTACTAGTACTTCCAGCTTTCTCTTTCTTTATTCTTTCCTTCACTCAGTTCCTCAATGCAATGAGAAAAGGGCTGTGTGCTTTTTCCATTTCAGGACACACAATGCCAGTGTCTTCTCTTTTTTCTATCAATACTTAACATTGAGAGAGGACATCCTGTTTCACTTTAACCTGACTCCATGCTTCTGGTTTTCTCCTCTAGGCAAAGGTATTTATTTTATAAATTGTAGGTCTAAGTCTCATTTTCTAAGACTTAGCTATTCACCACATCAAAGGCAGTACAATGTAGTAAGTAAACAAACACTCATGGCGTTGAAGACTCACTCAGGTTCAAGTTCTAGCTCTGCCATTCAATAGCTCTGTGACTTGCATAAAAAATTACTAATAAATAGAAAGCTCAGTTCAATAGAGTCTGGAGACCAGCAGGGGGAGTTCTCACACCCTGTGACGACAGCAGAGCCCAACAGGAAGAAGGAAGCCTCCTCTTGTTTCCTGGCAAGGACTTAGCTAAAGAAAAGCCACGGACTCTTTGTTTACTACAGCCCTCCCAACTTCCTTTTCCCTCTATAAAAGGGTTCTCCTTCCCTTGCCATGTGGGGACTTGCACAGGGCTCACCATGGTTATAGACCCCAAACTGCAGTTCTCTGCTCATCCCGAATACACACATCTTTGCTGGGGAGAAATATCCGGCAGTCCATTTATTCTGGTCAACACTTGAGTAAGTTATTTGACCTCTATAAGCTGGAAAATGGGGATGATAAGCTACCTCCAGGATTTTTCATTCAATCTACAGACTCTTATGGAGCGCTGTGCTGGATCCTGGAGATACAGGGCTGTGAGGTTTAAATAAAGTAATATATGTGTGGTGCTTGGTACAGGACCAGCAGATAGTAAAGGCTCAATGATAAAGTGTATTTATAAATGGTAGAACAAAAGGCAATTTCTCTAATAGCCATCACTGGACAGGAGACAGGGGAGTGAGGTGTTTTCTGAATAGAGCTCTTGGAATGATCTTGTATAATTGAGTCCTTCCTTCCCCTGGCTGAGGCCAGTCCCCATAATTTTAGATAATAGCCATAGCCATCATTTTTTTTAACACTTAACATGCACTTTACACGTATTACCTCATGTACTCCTCACAACAACTCCCTGAAGTGGGTTTTATTGTACCATTTTATAGAGGAGAAAATGTAGGCCCAGAGAGGTTAAGAAACTTGCCTGAGATCCCACAGCTAATGATCCGGGCTGGGACCTGAACCAGCTAGTCTGATTCCAAAGCCCATGATCTCCCCACCTCTCTAAACTCACCACCCTGGATTCGCCTCTGATTTCTGCATCTCGTGTCTAGGTAGCCAGCCCTGAGCAGCTCCAGAGAGAGACGCCCTCAGACAGGGGACAGTTAGGAAGGCCGTGGTGTTCTGGGGAGACGTATTCGGAGACCCTGTGTTCCCTGGCTCTCCTCAGGGGTGTTTCACTGATCCCCGTCCACTTTACACCTTTTCCTGCTGTGTCTCTACGACGTCACTTAAGACCAAACCAGCTCACCCTGAAAAGCAGCTCTGTGGAGCCCGGGAGCAGAGGCGTTGGCTGCAGTGGCCCGTGTGGGAGGCGGGGCTACTGCTCTTGCTGCCAAAGGCTCAGGCTGCTCTTTCAGCACAGCCTCTGCTCCTTTGTGGTCTTGCTTCTGGGTGTGACTGTCTGAGGCCTAAGTGATGCCAGGCCCACCTGCTTTGCCCCTAGTCTGCTCGCTGCCTGAGGTTTGCTATAGTACCCGCTGCAGGAGCCCCACTCAGACTCAGTGCACGTGACCTGCACGGTGCTCAGAAGAGTTCTGTGCTCGGTTTAACGCCCTGTCGTCTCCATCTTGAAATTCTTCATAATTTTTGAACAGGGGTTCTGCACTTTCATTTTGCACCAAGCCTCACAAACTATGTAGGTGGTCTTGTTCAGACCCTACTAAGGCCCCAGGGCACAGGCAGCCTCCCCAGCATGTGAATCTAAAGGAGATCACAGGGGTGTTCGGAAGAGACTTCAAGCAGGCAGGAGTTCTAATTTCAGGTTTGTGTTCACAAGGTCAAAGAAGGCTTGTGGACCGCCGGAAGCTGGAGAATGAATTCAAACATTCCTTTGGATGATGTGAATTTAGCAGGTTACCATCAGTTTTCCCAGTTACTCCTATAAATAAACGTAATACCCACTGTACATGCAGTTTCTTACTGGTAGAATGTTGGAGGTGAGGGTCAAGCCCAATTAAGCAGAGAAGCAAACCTGGTCTCTGCAACTTAAGATCTTTCCTACCTGCCTGCCACAGCCTGAAATCCCCTTCTTATTAAATCCTTCCTTCAGATCCTGCCAGTAAACCAGAACCCTGCTCAAGTGCAAATGTTTCTACCTTCTCAGAGCTTGCTGCCTCAATTAGCAGCCCTGCCCGCATACTCCCCCATCACTCCAGATTGCCAGCTCCCCTTTCCTATAGCCCTTTCCTCTCAGTCTTCAGATAGAGGCCTCCCAGTCCTGCGGCTCAGGCAAACCGCCTTTCAAATTCTCTTCTTTCTCTCGGCCTAGCTCAGATACCGCCAGCTCTTCACCTTTGGTCCTTTCCCTCCTCATCTCCTGCTCTCTGGCTTCCATCCTCTCAACCATTAAAACTGCCATCTCAAACACCACCCATCAAGGTTCAGAGTTTCATCAGCTTTGATCCTCTAGAAACAGGGCCACATTATGAATTCTGGTAGCCTGAAGCCTTCAGGAGCCCTTCCTCCATAAAAAAACATTAAAAATTATCTTCGAAGACTGTGTTGTTATAAAGATAAGTATAATCCAGTCTGGATTGTATTTATTTTAAAATTCTTTTTTTTTTTTTTTTTTTTTTATTGTGGGTCACGGGCCTCTCACTGTTGTGGCCTCTCCCGTTGCAGAGCACAGGCTCCGGATGCGCAGCCTCAGCGGCCATGGCTCACGGGCCCAGCCGCTCCGCGGCATGTGGGATCCTCCCGGACCAAGGCACGAACCCGTGTCCCCTGCAGCGTCAGGCAGACTTTCAACCACTGCGCCACCAGGGAAGCCCCTAAAATTCTCATTTTAAAATATATTAAAACATTTTCATGGGTCCCTGAAGTCTCATAGGCTCTGGGCACTGTGCCTTTAGAATTTAATGGAGAAATTAGTCCTTCTTTGAAGGCCTGGGTAAAGTTGAGGAGAAAGCCTTCATGAAGTCTTTTATTTCTGGGAAGCCATATTACTTTTTGCTTTTATTGTTCCTTTTATTGGGAAAACAACATAGTTATAAAGAAAATTTTGAGGAAACAACCGACTCATAATCTCATAGTCTAACACAACCCTTCATCTGTAATTCACTTCCTTATCCAGATGGAAAGCTAGTTTACATGGCTGACTGTTGTGTTTATGCAGTTCTGTATCCTGCTTATTCCATTTCATATTATTTTATTGAAAACATTTTCCATGTTTCTACAATAGTCTTCCTAACCATCAATTTGACTTATGGTGATTGACTTACTTTTTCTCTCTGTTGGTTTCCCAATCTTTTCAGACTGGGATTTCTTTGTCTGTTTTATTGCTTCCTTTTTGTCCTTTCATGGATTTAGTCTGGGCCACCTGATTATTCTGTATATCCTCCCCTGCCTCCCTCCACCCCAGGTAGTCTGATTCATGGCTTCAGCTATGGGCTTTATTGGGCTGAGGAGAACGGGCTTTGCAGGTGGTTCTTCCCAGTGGTAATTAGTGTTCAATGATCTGTGTACATGACCTGCTCAAGCCCTTTCACACGGCATGGTTTGTGTTTGAGAGCCAGCCAGGCCGTGGGGCATGGTCTTGTTATATTCTCCACTTTAGTAAAGGGATCAGAGTGTCAGAGCCTGAAGGTAACTCAGAGATGATTTTGTCCAACTTCATTATTTTACAGATAAGGAAACTGAGGTTCAAAGAGGTTAACAGACTTGATCACGGTTCTGGAACCAGGGAGCAGGGATTTGAAACTTCATTCCTTGACCTCAAAGTTTCATGCTCTTTCTTCAATAGCATCCATTCTAAATTTGTTGAAGAGGAACTTTATTTTACACTGCTGTACCATTAGAATGAGAATTTACATTGTGGAATTAAATTTACAATAATTTTGTTGCCAAATTTATCTGAATATTGTCTAATGGGAAGAAAAAAGAAAAACTTCATAATTTTCAGTTAGGTCCATATTCTGAAATTATCTGGACTATTATAGGAGAAATGTTTAAGTGATTCATGTTCTATTGAATGGTAACTTCACCTGTTTTGTTACTGTTCACTTGTCTCTAAGGTCTGTTGATTCACTTAGTACTACCATCCAACAGTCACATCAACTGAGCTTACCTGTTCAGAGATAAAGAGCAGATCAATCTTTGTCCCAAAATAGCCAGGGCAACATTGGTACTAGCAACCTGCAGAGAACAAAGGTGTACATTAGTGAGATGAGTGAATTTATCCATTTTGGCCATGAATATCATTACCTATAGTAGAAACATAAGCTTCACTTTCACTCTCATCTCAAAAAATATTGGAAGGAAATAGCTCTAAAAATATTGTCTTGCAGGTAGGGAAACTAACTATAAAGACTTTTTGTTTGAAGATCTCCTTTAAATTATTTTTCCTTGTCTTCTAATCTCTCTCTTGCGTGTGTGGGGGGCAGTAGGGGGAGAGAGAGGGAGAGAGAGATGTCTCACTTAGGTTCATTGTTCAGTCATTTTCTCTCAGATTTTATTTGGCCTTCATCTACTCAAATAAACTTGAATTCCACCTTGACTGACTTATTTCAAGAAAAAAAGAAATTTGGTTATCAATGTAACTGAAGCAGAGGGAAGGGCACACAGGACGTGGAGAAGCGGGGAGAGCTAGTTTACAACGTTTGGGGGTATGAGCACTGGCCTCCCATACCTACCCCCACCCTGTCCTCTCTCCTAATCGATGGATCACATCCCATCCCTCCAAACATTTAGTAGACCCTGCTGGCCAGTGGTCTACTGCACGAACAGGACTGGTATCCGTAGGCTGCCCTCCTGTCCCCGCAGACTTACAAAGTCCATGGAAATGATGGTTTCTGCAGTCGAGTTCTTGGACTGGGTGAGTATCACGAAGGAGGCAGGGATGTCTAGGGTGAAGTTACCTGGTAATAAATTGACCACGGGAGGCTCTCTTGCCAAGACCTGTACCATGAAGGGCTGGGACAAGATGTACAGCTCTGCAATCTGCCCACATTCAGGGAGAGAAACAGAGATTGGGAGTCGTGAGTTGAAGAGGGGAAATCACAAATTTGGGGTGGCCTGTGGTGATTAAATCTTACATCATACAGTTAGAACAGAAAAAAGCTCTTTAATAATTATACCAATAACAAGATAAGAATAATAACAGCTGCCATTTATTGAACACATACTGTGTGTCAGGCACCATGTCAGGACTTTCAGTATTATTGCATCTAATCTCCAAAAAATCCCTCTGAGGCAGGTTCTATCGGAATTCCCATTTCACAACTAAAGAAAGTGAGTCTCAGAGAAGTTAAGTAATTTTCTCAAGGTTCCAGATGAGTAAGTTATAGAACTGGGATTCAAATCTAGGTCTGTCTGACTCAAGATCCTTGCTCTAAACCCAGGATGCTACACGAGCATCTCTCTGTCCTCCAGGGCAAACCTGAGCCTTTCAATATACTGTGTCCAATACTCAGATCCCATGACAGCATGATATTAATAGTTGTTTTACTAAAGTCACAATGTGGCACTATTCCTTCCTTTCCCATTTAAGCTAATTATTTAAAGTGTGGTGGAACCTTATGGAAGGAACAAATGATTTATTCTGTGTACAATGTCTTTCCTAGTAACTTGTACTGTTCAGTTAATATTTGTGGATATCTGATTAAAAGAAAAACTCTTAAGAATGGAAATATGGATGCAAGCTTGGACCAGAAAGGAACATAAAGAAACAAAAAGTCTTCCGGAAGTAATTGCAGTGAAACCAAATACACCATGAAGGAGTCAAACCCTGAGCACTCACCCAGGAGAGCATGTTGCCAAGGCCTTGAGAGTTGCGAATCAAATTGTTGAAAATCTGGGAAATGAAGACCATCATGTCACTGTAAGGTTTTTACCTGGGTTGTATTTTCAGGGAAAAATGCAGCATTCCCTATAATTTTTATGAATCATGAAGCTGTTGCACCAAAAATGCCTAGTGTTTGAAGGTGACTGATTATTTTATAGCCCAACCACAGGAAATCTGAGGCCCAGAGAAGTAAAGTGACTTGTCCTAGGTCACACAGGAAGTTACATTGCTTTTGACTAAGGGCCTTTTAACCTTAGGAACACAGTGTATATCATATGTCTACGATCCATGTGTAAACATTTTACAGCGGTTAACAATGTCTTGTGTTATTGTCCTCTTTTTCAGAGGTTACTGAGACGTATGATGCATAAGCAATTTATCTTCACAGATGAATGGTTTTCAAGTCTGAAGCTAGAAGTGTCTAATTCTCAGTACTGTATGGCAGCTGGTGTTGCCACCGGCATTTTGAACACAAGATTTATAATTATTTGTATAATTAGGGCCTAGAGAATGAAAAGATACATAAGGAATGCTCAATAAAAGTTGTTAGTTGACTGGTAGAAGAGAGAGTTCTCATTATAAAAGGGAGGGGCATGACAAAGAGGATCAATGAATATCTGTGCTATTTACTGGTCATTGTAGATGTCAGTTGTAATTACTAACAGGAGAAATCTTTATGTTGGCATAACACAAATAATAAAATAATAATAACGATCATGATGATAATCAACACTTAGAGAGCATGTAGTCTGTGCTAGGCACTGGTCTGAATGCTTTACGTATATTTAAACCTCTTTAATGCCCATAACAACCCTATGAGTATGGAACATTATTATTCCCATTTTCCAAATGATGAAATCTGGCACAGAGAAGTTAAGTACATTGAAATTACCAAATTTTCATAGGTATTTGTCACAGGTAATAAGTAGTGGAGGGATTTCTTGGTATTATTGAAGATCAGTCTAGAAGAACAGTGGCCCAGTATCATAAAAAGCTGAAATTAGCAGAACTGGAAACCCAACAACTCCCCAACTAGTATCAACATTCATTCCACAATCCCTTCATTCATTGTCCTGCTAGGAGTGATAGTGTCTACAAAGGCCCAGGAATAGAAACTATGACATAAAACCCCCCATAATGGGATACTTATAACAAGATTAAATGTTGGTGTCGATTGTCATCACCCGTTAACTCTCCTAACCTTTTTTGTGGTGAGAGTGACGTTGAAAGCCCCAGCTGTAAAATAAGCATAGGACGCAGATTTAAAGAAATACTCGGAGATTCCAACGTAGATCATAGAGTCACTGTGTTCCGGGAGCACAAAAGGAACTGATGAGAAGGGGGGATCTGTGAGGTTTTCCAGGGGGTAGAATACGCCCTGTGGGGAAACAGAAAGAAAGACCCGTGTTATCAGGGGAAGACTCGAATGTGCAGGACTAAAGAAGGTGGACCCACTCAAGTCAGAATAAGGAATATTCCAGAAACTCAGTAGGGTTGAAAAAACCACGAGCCCTCTGACTCCTTGACTGGGGACTATGTTTCAGAGCTCTGATGACTTCTTGAGCATATCTGAGTGTGTCTGTCCACCCTGGGGTGTAATCCAGCAAGAAGTTCCTTGTTAGTCCTCTTCTCAGAGACAGGAAGGCAGGTGAATGTAGCTGGAGGGGACAGCTCTGAATAGTTTCTGAAGTGTCATGTAGAGATGTCAAACTTTTGACCTTCAAAATCCATAACTTCTGAGCATCTGGGGCATCACAGAAAGACTCAGAAGGATCCAGGATTCTAAATGGCTCAAAGCATTTTTGCGGCATTTTTACTGCTGCCTTCATAAGGTATAGGCTGTTATTACAAAATGGTGTCTTGTGTAATATTTAACAGAGTTGAATGACTCTGATTGAAACATAAGCCAACATACATTTAAAAAAAAAAACCAATGGGGGCTTCCCTGGTGGCACAGTGGTTAAGAATTCGCCTACTTGGGCTTCCCTGGTGGCACAGTGGTTGAGAGTCTGCCTGCCAATGCAGGGGACACAGGTTCGTGCCCCGGTCCGGGAAGATCTCACATGCCGCGGAGCGGTTAGGCCCGTGATCCATGGCCGCTGGGCCTGCACGTCTGGAGCCTGTACTCTGCAACGGGAGAGGCCACAACAGTGAGAGGCCTGCGTACTGCAAAAAAAAAAAAAAAAAAAAAGAATTCGCCTGCCAATGCAGGAGACACGGGTTCGAGCCCTGGTACGGGAAAATCCCACATGCCGCGGAGCAACTAAGCCTGTGCGCCACAACTACGGAGCCTGCGCTCTAGAGCCTTCAAGCCACAACTACTGAGCCCACTTGCCACAGCTACTGAAGCCCACGTGCCTAGAGCCCATACTCTGCAACAAGAGAAGTCACCACAATGAGAAGCCCGCGCACCACAACGAGGAGTAGCCCCCCAACAAAAAATAAATAAATTTTAAAATAAATTATATTTACTTTGGGACAAAAGCACAGTTAATCACTTTTCCAGAATCAGCATTTTTTGCGGTATGTGGGCCTCTCCCTGCTGTGGCCTCTCCCGTTGTGGAGCACAGGCTCCAGACGCGCAGGCTCAGCAGCCATGGCTCACGGGCCCAGCCACTCCGCGGCATGTGGGATCCTCCCGGACCGGGGCACGAACCCATGTCCCCTGCATCAGCAGGCGGACTCTCAACGACTGCACCACCAGGGAAGCCCAGCAAACAGTATTATCATGTGTTAATGGCCCTGACAGAGTTCAGCAGCCCTCAGTTAGATCGACTAACCTGAGAGCTAGGAATAGAACTATCAATATTTATAGTCTACTGATCTGTTGAGCCCTAATAAACGCAGACTATTCTACTTGCTGCCCTTAGTCTGCAGCCTTACTCCCAGAGGCAGAGACATCAGGATACTTTTCTTGAAGAAGGCAGGCATATGCTGTGCAATCCAAGCAATCATTTACCAGTCCAGAAGATGTTCAAGAGTCTTTTAAAGGAGCATAAACATGAGAGAACTGCCTGAGAGAAAATTAAACTGTTGGGCGAGAATGTAGTTGTATGTCCCTCTGCACGTAGTATTTGATCCTTGGACAATGGCTACTGATGCCAAGCTTAGGACTCTGACGATGATAAGATTACCTTCAAATTCAGATCAATGTAATTCTCAGTAATTTCTGGAGAACTGACTAGGGAATAATCCAGCAGGGTATAGTTGTCAATGCTTCTTAAAACTAAATAACAAAGAAAAAAGAAAATTTACATTTATTAAAGGTATAGCATAACACATGGTTAATATTTATCCAGAACAAGTTTTTAATCCTCTGTTATTTAAAACAAAAATTAACCCTTACCCTGTTTCATAAATAATACTTGCTCACTTTTCAAAACCCAGGAAAAGTAGATAAATCAAAAGAAGAAAGTAAAAACTCTTCTTTATCACATTTCCCTGAGAGAACCATCAGTAAAATTTTGGTACATAGCCTTTTATGCATGCTCCCAGAAGTACAGAAATTTGCCCACAGCAACCTAGGACATGGCAATCCTCCACTGGTTCTTTCCTCATCTTTTCAACATCTTCTTTCTCTTTCCCTACCTCTCCAATCTGTTCTTTTTTATTCATCTATCTGCATCCACTCATCAATCCATCTGTCCAGCCATCATCTCCTTTCATCCCTCTATCAAGCTAATATTTATGAACCTAGTGTGAGTTAGGCACTGTGCTCGGTGTTGAGAACACGGAGAAGAGTCAACGTCCCTGCCCTCAATGAACTCACAGTCTGGAGGAGGAGACAGACATATAAACAGGAAATTATAATACAGCGTAATAAGAGCAGATCTGTAACTGAGCTCCAGAGGGCCTACTACAAACATAGTCTTATAGTCTTCCCCATCTTGGTATCGGTAATTCCACTCTTCCAATTTTCTAGTTGCTCAGAGTAAACCCTGGCCTCATGCCTGACTCCCCTCATGACCCACATTCAATGTGTCAGCAAATACCACTGTCCCTACCCTCCAGGTACATCCGAAACCTGAACATATCTCAACATCTTCGTCACTCCATCCAGGTCACTGCCTTCCTTGCTCGTATAGGTCACTGCACTAGCCTCTTAAGTGGTCTCCCTGCTTCCACCCTGAATCCTGTCCTATTATCAATAGACAGAAACCAGAGTGATCTCCTTAAAATATAAGTCAGTTCATGAAAGCTGTGCTCAAAACTCTCTCAAGACTTCCCATCTCAGACTAAGAGCCAGGCTTTGTAGTGACCTACAGAGCCCTGAAGGTCTAGCCATCTGCTTTCCCACTCTCTGACCTCACCTCCTGCTGTTTTCCCCTCGTTCCCTCTGCTCTCGGGATGGACTCCTCAAAATTCCTCCAATGCACTCGGCATGCTCCCACATGGGCCTTTGAGCCTGCAGTTTCCTCTGCCTGGAATGTTCTTCATCCAGACCTAGGAGCGGCTTACTCCCTACTTCATTCAGGTCTTTACTCTAATGCCAGCTGCTCAGTGGTGCCTTTCCTGGCCATGCTATTTTAAACAAAAACCCCTCGTCAGCTCCTTCCCTGCTTTATTTTTCTTCTTACCACTTATTGCAACGATACCATAGATTTATTTATTATCTTGCTGGCTGGCTGTCTCCTCTCATTAGCCCCATGAGGGCAGGGATTTCTGTCTCACAGGCTTACTGCTGCATCCCCAGCACCAAGAACAGCACCCAGCCTATTACAGGGGCTCAGCATACCATGGCAGGGTGCGGGGGTGGGGGGGCGGTAAGTGGATGAAGTGCAAAGAGAGATCTGCCCGAAGTGTCATGTGAGCGTTGAGGAGGCGGGAGTTTGGGGTGTGGGCTGTCAGGTAGGATTTCTTGGGAGAGACTATGCCTGAGCTGAGCCTTCAGAGCTAAAGAGGAGTGAACAGGACAAGGGATGCCTGCGGGGTAGGGAGCAGAAGGGGCTGCATCCCTCGGGGCTTAGCACAGTGCTGGCGAAGAAATTGGTGCCCTGTAAGTATCTCTCAAGTGAATAGATGGATGGAGGGGAGGAAGAGAAAGCTCTTCTAGGCAGAAAGGACAGCATGACTGGAGGCAAGGTGTGAGGCGGTCGAAGCAGTTTGATTGCTGGAGCAGACAAAGGTGCAAGATGAAGCCCAGAGAGGTGAGAGGGAGCCAGAGCACGGCAGGTGGGTCTTGTAGTCCATGTTAAGGTATTTGGACTTGATCCTGAAGGCAGCTATAGGAGCCACTGGAGGGGTTAGAACCAGGAGATAACTGGTCAGGATGAGCATTCATCATTCTGAAGAGGATGGATTTAGCGCCAGAGCTGGGATTAAGGCTCACGACAGTTTAATTCTTTGCCTTGCATCTAGTTTCCTGAAGTCACCCCCACCTGCAGTGAAGCTGGTTAGCAGCAGAAAAGAGCGGGCCCTGCACATGGGCAGGTCCTCCCATGCACCTTCCTGCGGTGCTAGTTTGCAGAGGGGAAAGCAGATGGGGGAGCTGGAGCAAAGCACACCTGGAGAGCACCTGCGTGTGAAGGTGGGAGGAGAAACACCCAGAAGAGACAGTTCTGGGACTCACCCTCCAGCATGCTGAGGTTGGCATTCAGTGCCTCCACCTCACTTGTGATAATGGGACAGAGCTGGCCATAAAAGGAATAAAAAAAAAAATGCAGGTTATCACATTGTACTGGAAACCACTGTTTAAGGGCCTAGACCCCAACAAAGGCCTTCCAGTGAGGAGACATTCTCCCTTTGGACTCTCCCTTAAATTAGTTGATGCCTATGGGCCTCAGGTTCCGTACGTATGGGTGGCATGACATTGAATGCTGGCTCAACTTCATAGCAACCGGGACCACACCCACTCAGCCCCATAAAAGAACAAGCCCTTGGCTTTCATCTCTGCAGCATGACAGGGCATGTGCCCCAGTCCATGTTAGTGCTACGACACCTGGCGAACCTGCTGCCTGCACAGCTGAGCCTCTCCCAACGGCAGGGATGCCCCTGCCTGCCACCTCTGCCATCAGCATGCCAGGCCCTGCCAGGGAGAGTTAGAGCAGGGCCTTTATTTCCTTGCTGGGCTGCTCGGAGAGCCCATTAGATCAGACATCTATTTAGATCAGAGCCCCTTTTGGAATTAGAAAATCAATTTGGAATCAGACCCAAGCACATCTGTAGGAAACAGGAAGAGTATCAAGCTCGATGCCGTGTGCCAGGAGTGTGCTGAGCACGCAGTGTGGTGGTTACTAGCAGAGGCTCAGGAGCCTGGCTGCCTGGGGTTGAATGCCTTGGCAAGTTACTTGTACTCTCTGGCCTCAGTTTCCTCATTTGCAACGTGGGGATGATAGCTGTATCTACTGCGTCAGGTTACTGTGAGTAGAAATTGAGGCAATCCACGTGAGATTGCCCAGCTCAGAGTAAGCATTCAGTAAATGTTAGCTGTTGCCAACCTCATTTCATCCTCACTACAGTCCTGAGAGGCAGGCTCTACTGGCCCCTATTTACAGATGGAAAACAGAAGCTTGGAGAGGGTAAGCGAGTTGCCAGGAGTTATAGATCAGTAGGATTTGAAATCTGGCCTGACATGGCTAGACAGCTGTGGTCTGAGCACCCTTGGCCTTTTCTAGTGGCACAGAGGGAACCCTAGAAGCAAAGCATCTATGATCTCTAAGTCATACACAAGCTCCAGGCAAACTTAACTATTGGCTTCTTGTCGGAGGACAAAGGACCATGCCTTGTTTTGAACAAAGGAATGATCAAGTGTGGGGTCCCTGAAAGCAACAGCACTGTTTCCCAGGCACTCTTCAATATGCACATCCACTGGCACTCAGCACCTTTCAGGTAAGGACGGGAAAGGCTGCGAAGCTTCAGTGTCCCCTGACCAGCCGGACAACCTTGTTAGACAAGCTGCTTAACGTCTCTGTGTGTTGATTTCCTCACTGACATTCATTATGCACCTACTGCCTTCCAAGTGCTGAACTGAACACAAGGGGGCTGGAGACAGCCAGACACCATCCTTGTCCCTCTTTTCCGGAAAGGAATCTCCCTTCTTTTCCCATCCTCCTCACCTCTCTCCTTGTCTCCCCAGAAATGTGGGTAAAGCGTTCAGGGAAGATATTGTCAGGAATGGAAACAGGGCACATGGCCAATTCCATCTTTCCCTTCCTCGGACACTGACTTCTGGCATCAAGATACTTGGATGCCATCTTAACTTATACTGTTTCACTTGGCTGGGAATATTCTTTCTTCTTTCCCGTTCCTCACTTATTCAATTCCTACCTATATTTGAAGGCTCAGTTCAAGTCCTGCACTCTCCAAAAATATCTCCCAGGATAGGATACTCCTAGGCTCTATTTACTTAATTTTTCCAGTTCTCTGAACCCCCTCAGTCCAACCTAATGACCATGTAAGTATGTACGAAATTCAAATACTTATTCAGTTGCAGTTTCACAAGTCTGAGTTGGTTTTTCCTAAACAGATAAGTTTATTCCTTTTCCATATCCTCAACAGACTCTAGCCTAGAGTGCTGGGCATGTAGTAGGTACACAATAAACGAACTCTTTTTGATTGTTTGCCCACCCTGGGGCGAGGACTTGAGGGAGGGAATGCTGTATTATTTATCTCTGCATCCCTAGCACCTACCATTATGTTTGGCACATAGTAGGCACTTGAGAAACTATTAACTTGCAAAGGATAATGTGTGTGAAAGTGCCTTGGATGGTGCTTAGCACACGGTAGGTGCTCAGGAAAGTTTTATTGACTAAAAGCTAATCAAAGCATGGCAGAACTGCTGCTGATGGCATGTTACTATGGCTGTATAGCCTCTAAAGACTTACCATTTTATTTAAGTTCTTTAAAATGGGTTTCTCCATGGGCTCAGCAAAGGAGTTATATAGGACACTAGGAAAAAAAAGATTACAAAAGGGCTTACACAGGATCATATCTGCCAGTTCATAACTGCCCCTAGGTGCCACATGAGAACCCAGCTCCAGACTGTCCACTGCCCACCAGGGTGCTCACCTGAGCTCTCCAGAAAACGAGATGTCATTGTGGCTCACTTGGGCATTGCAGTCTTGGAGCTTCAGGATTGGGTGACCAAAGTCATTCCGGGCCAGGACAACTATACCGGTGAAGTAGACCCCAGAGAGAAGCAAGTTAGCTCCTCCTGCGTCTTGGCTGTTGAGAGAAGAAGTGCAAGGTTACCCAAGCCTGGGCAGGGGTGCAGATGGATCTTGTTTCTCTGATTAACCATAGAATCTAAGCCCCAGGAGGGCAGGAACTTCATCACCTCTGGATTCCTGGCACCTACAACAGGTAGGGGTGAATATTTACTGAACAAACGAAGTAACAAATATGTGAATGGTGACAGCTCTAGGAACCTTGCATTTATTTCATCTTGAGTGCGCTGGCCCCCATAGTGGTTGAGCATGTATTAGGCACCATTCATATACGATGCTTGTTTGGAGGAAGAACATAGGGGTCAAGGTGGCCACACCTTATTTAGGAGGGGCATAGATGGGGAGGTGACACTTAGATGTCATCTGTGAACTCCTTGAGGGAGTGGTGCTATTCATCTCCATGCCCCAGGATTTAGCTCATGGCCTGACACAGAATAAGCACTCAATCTATGGTTGATGAGTCAGCAAAGAAATGAATAATACATGAATCTATGTTTCTTATGGGGGAACATATTATATCCCTACCGTCTACGAGACTGGAGTTCTTGAGACAGGGATGAATGGTACTCAATACCATTTATAAATGGATACAGTCAGTAGGTACTCAATAAATGGATATTGAATGACCAAATGGATGAATGAATGTGTCATCCTGGGCCATCAACCAAGGCAGACCTAAACATTACACCCACACAGTGACTTATACATAGTAGGTGGTTTGTAACCGTACCATGAATTTGGTCCTTTCTTTTTATCTTCTTTTCTGGCCGCAGCCCACGGCATGTGGGATCTTAGTTCTCTGACCAGGGATCAAACCTGTACCCCCTGCAGTGGAAGCGGGGAGTCTTAACCGCTGGGCTGCCAGGGAAGTCCCAGGAAATCTTAAATGACATGTTGATCAGTGGTTCTGCCTTTAAGGGAAGGATGCTTTTCAGCCCCCTCCTCCCTGCCCTCAGTAGAGATATTCTGATTTAAATCTCTCCTGGAAAGATGCTCTTGAGAAAGATGGTTAATGGCTGAGGGAAAGAAGCCTAACGTCAAACACATTGGCAACTTTATCTACTTCTGATTTCTTGCTCCGTCTCCCCCAGAACAGCAGTAGGCTTCTCAGTGGAATACTCACAAAAGTGGAGACTTGATTTCCCAGTCTGTGCTGATGTTGGCAGTGCCGTGCTTGATCAGGGCCCTGATTCCCACCCCAGGCACAAAGGCTAGTGAAGTATTTGGAAGTGAAAAGGCATTGATTTTTATGCTGTAAAACAGGAAACAGAGGAGTTAGTGCGACTCAGCCAGCACATCTCTAAGTAAGGCAAAATCGGAAATGCAGTGGTAGAACTCCCAAGATGGGCAATTGTGAATTCCTATAGAGCAGGGGTCCCCAACCCCCGGGCCACGGACCGGTACCGGTACACAGCCTGTTAGGAACCGGGCCGCACAGCGGGAGGTGAGTGGCGGGCAGGCGAGCAAGCCCTTCATCTGCCGCTCCGCATCGCTCCCCAGGAAGCGGGTCCCTTGTGCCAAAAAGGTTTCGGACTGCTGTTATAGAGGAAGGACCCTTAGGTATGCAGTGCAGCCTCAGGGCACTGCCTTCTAATTCCTCTCACACCCTTGGCAGGAAGCCCCTTGTATCTAGCTGAGGGGAGAAATGAGCAAGTTTAGGAACAGATTTGCAAACAATCAATCGACTTCTTTAGTTTCTTTAAAGACAAAACACTGCCATCATTATTTTTCCCTTCAGCTGTTCCAGTGTTTCTCAACTGTTCCAGTGTTTCTCAATGCGGGAAACATTAACATTTTGTTTGTTTGTTTGTTTGTTTTTGTGGTACGCGGGCCTCTCACTGTTGTGGCCTCTCCCGTTGCGGAGCACAGGCTCCGGATGCGCAGGCTCAGCGGCCATGGCTCACGGGCCCAGCCGCTCCGCGGCATGTGGGATCCTCCCGGACCGGGTCACGAACCCGTGTCCCCTGTATCGGCAGGCGGACTCAACCACTGTGCCACCAGGGAAGCCTAACATTAACATTTTGGATGGGACAACTATTTTTTTGTAGAGGACTGTTGTACAAATTGCAGGATATTTGGCATATGTACCAACTAAATGCCAATCGTGTCCCTCCCCCCACCCCTAAATCATCAGGACAATAAACAGCATGCCTTGCTCCCAAATGTCCTCTATGTGGACAGTATCTTCCCCAGTTGAGAAATTTATTTTAGAGCATTAACTCCCCCTAGGATTCTCTGAGCTGTCACACAGGTCACTAGAGGCAGTAGGTGGCATGCAACATACATAGGTAGATGGCCACGTGCATTATGTTAAGTTATTAGTATGACCATCTATTGAGCAATTACTACCTGCTAGACACTGGAGTAAGCACTTCACATGTGTTACCTCATTTTAACCCTCACCATAATCCTATGAGGCTGCTGCTGATTTTGCAATCTGCAATTCAGAGATGAGAAGATTAGAAACTTGGCTGAAGTCATAGATAAGTGGTAGAACCAGACCTGGAAGCCTCCTCAATCTGTCTTCAGGCTTCTTAACCAGGAAGCTATGGCGCTTCGTGCATCGTGCAAAGGGCACTCGGCTCGGAGCCAAGTTTTGTGCTAGCTGTACAACCTTGGGCAAGACACTTAACCTCTTTCAGTCAGTCACTGAAAAGAAGTGTGACTCATGGGAAGGTTGAGAAGACAAAATGAAGCCATCTGTGTATAACTGTTGCACGGGAGAAAGCACTGTTATGAACTAGGGAAAATTTTAAAATGTGACAGCCAATAAGAAAGGATTATTTGTTATTTCCTCTTTTCTGCATCCTTTCCTACCTATTCTCTGTCAAATATCCTGAGGATCACCGTGAAAAGAGGATGGTAGAGATTAATGTATCTTGGAAATATTTTCATTTTGATACGTATAGGTCTAACTCATTCTTTGTAATTGCTGCAGAGTAATCTAAGCTATGGATTAAAAAAAATCATTGCTTTGTGGGTAGACATCTAGGTTGTTTCCAGTATTTCTGCATTATAAACAGTGCCACAGTGAACATCCCCATATATGCTGTTTGTGTAGATGTTTCTCTAGGGAGCGTGCTGAGAAGTGGAATTGTTGGGTCAAAAAGCATGCCTAAAAAAATCCTTAAAAATCACCTCCTAAAATAGCACTGTCTAGGGGCTTCCCCGGTGGTGCAGTGGTTGAGGGTCTGCCTGCCGATGCAGGGGACACGGGTTCGTGCCCTGGTCCGGGATGATCCCACATGCCGCGGAGTGGCTGGGCCCGTGAGCCATTGCCGCTGAGCCTGCGCATCCGGAGCCTGTGCTCCGCAACGGGAGAGGCCACAGCAGTGAGAGGCCCGCGTACCGCAAAAAACAAAAACAAAAACAAAAAAAACACTGTCTAATAGAAATATAATGTGAGCCATATATGTAATTTAACATTATCTAGTCACATTAAAAATGGGAAATATTATAATTTGAACATGTAATCAATATAAAAATTGTTAATGAGATATTTTATTTTCCTTTTTCAAAAATAAACAAAATGCAGTATGTGTTTTATATTCATGATGTACCTCAATCTAGATATTGCATTTTCAACAGAAATTCTTGACCTGTATTTAGAGCTGATAAAATTTTCAATTGAAAGAGTAAACTTACACATTCAAATTGTTCCAGACTTAAAAGTTCTTCAGTAACTGAATCATGTGAGTTTTTAAATTAAAACTGAAATTAAAAAAATTAAAAATCCAGTACTCAGTTGCACTAATCATACCTCAAGTGCTCAATAGTGACATGAGGCTAGCAGCTCCTGTTTGAACAGCACAGGTCTGAAATTATTGTACCAGTTTATCTGTTCCCACTAGCAATGCATGGGAATACCTGCTTCTCCTCATCTTTACCTTCACTTTATATTACAGGAATCACCCTGGTTTTTCTGCTGTGGCATTATCATCAGTGTAATTAAATCATTAGATTTGTAAATATATATTTAATGTTCATCTCTCTCACTGGACACTAAAGGCATATCTGTGTCATTCACTACACTATACCCTATGCCTAGAACAAAGCCTTAGTACACAGTAGGTGCTCAACAAATTCCTGTTGAATGGCTGACTGTATTATAATTAGAGCATCTGTCATATTAGACCATGAGGCAAACGAAGCCAGAGGCCAGAGTTAAGGATAGGGGAACAGAAAAATACAAGACAGTTGTATTCTGATGAAACTGTGGGGCTTCAATAGGATTCTTCAACTGTTTTTTTTGGGGGGGGGCATAGTTTCTTTACAATGTAGTGTTAGTTTCTGTTGTACAATGAAGTGAATCAGCTATATGTATACATATACCCCCACCCCGCTTGAACCTCCCTCCCACTACCCACCTCATTCCATCGATCTAGGTCTCCGCAGAGCACCGAGCTGAGTTCCCTGCGCTATACTGCAGGTTCCCACTAGCGAACTGTTTTACACATGGCAGTGCACATATATCAATCCCAATCTCCCAATTCATCCTCCCCACTGTGTCCACACACCCATTCCCTATGTCTGTGTCTCTATTCCTGCCCTGAAAATAGGCTCATCTGTACAATTTTTCTTCAGAGCTTCTTATTTGTGAGACAAAAATGAACCCCTATTTCATCTAAGTCACACTAATTTTGTTATATTCGGCTGAACACTTTTCCTGGTTCGTACCATCACCCCTACATACCCCAGGGAGCTGAAAGATCTCTGCTTTAACCTATTTCTATTCTTGTTCCAAAACACCTGATGTTTGTCAAAGATGTTTATCAGTTACACCTCAAAGGAAACTCTACAGTCGTCCACCCTGAATCAGTTCCAGCCTAAGTGCAAGAGCAGTGTCTGTGCCAAGGAAACGTAGAAGTGCCCAAAGGTTGCCTTTGTCTCATCACCGTGCTAAGATCTCCGCCCAAAGAGGGGACTTGTACTTTGCTAGGCACAATGAGTGCCGGGCGCAAGGGACTGTGCATGCAGCACTGTTCCTGGAAATCTCTGCCCTTTTCCCCAGTTTCTGATGATGCAGTGGCCTCTTACCCCTTAAACATCTCCCACTTGCCTCCCATGGGGAGAAGGTGTCTTTAGAGCATGAGCTCTCCCTTCTCCATTCCTTGATCAACGAATACAGTTTCTGCTCTGCTTTGCCGAACCTTGTCTCATTCATCTGGCGTGAGAAGGACCCAGTTGGGGTCCACCCAATCTGAGAGGGTGGGGAACAATATAAATATAATCTCAAAACTCTTGGCTTGGGTGAGACAAGGATCTGGATCAATGTGGCAATTCCATTGTTCTTACACTGATGGTCTATGCTGTCACTAAGTATATCAGCTAAAGCGTGTTCAGCAGCTTCAGTTTTATGAAGTATCTTCACATTTGTTACATCACCTGCTTTTTATTGTTTACTGATTCTGACATTTGATTTTATTGCTGTAACATGGTAGAAAAGATTATAGCTGCCACCAGAATTCTTCTTAGGAAGAGAAGTTTATTGGTGGGAAAATTACTTGGAAAAGTATTTAGGATGATCCTTTGGTGCCCAGGAGTGGGTGGAACTGCTATGCATGAGCCCAGGGGAAGAAACTGACGTTGCTCCAGAGAAGCAGAGGAGGTCTAGATAGCAAGAGGGCAGAAAGCATGTGCCTTGTAATCCACTCCTATGACCTCTGAAGTCTTGACTAAACTTTACAAAATAAGACAAGATGTAGTGAGAGCGGATTTGTTTGTGAGACTGATATTGAACTCTGCATCTAAGTTTATGGGGGTAGGGGTAGCAATGGAATGAACAAGAATTTCATTTAGAATTCTGGGGGCAAGGTGCCCACAGCCGACATCTGCATCGAATTAGAACTCTCATTTTAGGAATGAGGAGAGGGCACTGAGTCTCTGAGCAGATGCGCCAGGTGCACACAACGAGTGTGCAGCAGAGATGTGACTTGGACCCACGCGTTCTGAGCCAAACACCACATGCCGGCTCCATGACCCCTTTTTCTTGGGTGGTTTATCTGATAAGCCTTTCACCAAAGGTTGGTTAACTTCTACTCCATCCTGGTGTTACACCAGGACTCACGGTGGCATATCCACAACCCTGAGATTTTAAAGATTAATTTCACTGCTAAAAATGTCCTTCTCTTTTACTTACTTTATAAGCTTGTAGTTCATATAATCAATTTTCAGAAATTCAGGAGATTCAGAACCTTTTAAATCTGGGATGTTTCTTTCCTTGACCATTTGCTCAATCATCTCCACCCCAGCTTGAATGCCTGGGAAGCAACCAAAGAAAATGTTTATTGATAACAAAGATGATGATGGCATAATATCATTAAACACACAAGTTAAATTTATTAAGTAAGCCATGCTCTTAGATACTGAGAAAACAGGATTCTAACAAGGTGGTTATTATTGTCCCTACTTTGCAGAAGAAAACACTGGTCCTCAGAGAGGCCAGTGAAATTGTCCAAGAACCCAGAGCTAACAGCATGGGAGGATGTTAACACAGGACAGTGTTATAGGAAAAGTACAAAGTATCATCGTTATCCAATTTCACAGATGAAGAAACTGATCCTCAAAGAGGTTAATTCTTGCCTAAGTCACACAGCTAAGAACTGGGGAAGCCAGTAGTCAAATCTGGGCAATTTGGCTCCAGAATCTATGCCTGATGGCCAGTTCCAGAAAGTTATTCTACATCGTCCTTTTTCCCTCCTAGATTCTTTAAATTCAGGAATTTTGGAATGGAGGTCCATGGACTGTTGGGAACACTTGAAGCCCCTGAAATTCTAATGAAAGATTGTGAGTGGGTCATGTGTATGTGTATCTATCCCATTTTTTAGGGGAAAATTTTCCAGGGTTCACATTTTATTTTTTTATTTGCAGTACGCGGGCCTCTCACTGCTGTGGCCTCTCCCGTTGCGGAGCACAGGCTCCGGACGTGCAGGCTCAGTGGCCATGGCTCACGGGCCTAGCCGCTCTGTGGCATGTGGGATCCTCCCAGACCGGGGCACGAACCCGTGTCCCCTGCATTGGCAGGCAGACTCTCTACCACTGCGCCACCAGGGAAGCCCCAGGGTTCACATTTTAATCAGATTCTCAAAGGATCCCAGCACTCCAAAAAGGTTAGCAACCACTGCTTTTGTTTAATCCTGGAATAAACCCATCTTTATATAATAGCACCACAGAACACATTTCTCTGAGCTCGTGGAGAAACAGAGCCCTCTTCCACATTAAAGAGCTTGAGAAAAGTAACTTAGTAACGAAGAATGATCTTTTCATTTTTACCTTCTCAAGGAGGAAGTTTTGCTTATACCCCTTCCTTTACAGCTTAAGCTCACTTCCACTTATCCTATCCTTTTTGGAGATTAAGAAGAGCAGATTTTATCCTCTATAATACTGTGAATAACACTGTAATATGGAGATGTAAAGACAGAATGTAAAGGATGGAACGATGGAACCGAAGGCACTATCAGACAGCCTAGGTTTGGATCCCAACACTCACTTACTAGCTGTGTGACTCTGCAAGTTACAAAGCCTCTCTGTCCTTCACTTTCCTCATCTGTAATGTGGGGACATTAGCAACTGTGGAGGTGTCTGTTCACATATGTGAAAATAACAGTAGGTAATATTTGTTGGGCATATGCTATTGTGAGATTCTGTTCCAAGTACTTTATATGCTCTAAGATGTTCATTGTGTATGCATGTGCGGGGGAGTGAGAGAGGGAAAATATGAATCTGTGACTATGTTTGGATATGCCTACTGTCAAGGTGATTACTTTTTAGACAACACCTTTCCCCCAGCCATCTTAGTAGCTCTGGATCACCCCACTGTAGAGCTTGTCTCAGTCATGAGACAGACCAATCTGAGCTTCTGGATTTGGGTCACAGACTACACCTGGGAGGTGAGTACAGCCTGGCTTTTGAAAGCATCCAACTCACCATAGTCCAGAGCTCTCTGAGTAGCCCTCGCCTTGATTCCAGGGTAAATGGTCTGAGCGGATGAGATGTAGAGATTCCACAGGAGGAAACATCCCCAGAGGACTTGGACCATCTTTGTACACATCTGCAATTAGTCAACATTTATAGTCCTTTTATTATTCTTAACTTTTTCATTGGCCAATTCCATCTAGCATTTCTAGGCTTTCTCACTTTCATTGCTTACTTCCAGAACTTGCTCCATCCATCCATCCATCCATCCATCCATCCAGTAATCATTTATTGAACACACTGGAACGTATTCTAGGTGCTGAGGATGTAGAGATGACCTATGTGTGGCCCCTGACCTTTGCTTCCCACAGAATAGTGGGTGAATCAGACATACACACACAGATGATTGTAACGCAGTAAGATATAATGCAGTGCAATACAAGAGCCTTACAAAAAATATAGCAATTTGGATATGCCTTGGGAAGGATAATGGGGGTGGGATGGGGGAATTCTTGAGTTTTAGAACAAATGAGTCAGTAGTTTGGAAAGGTGGCCTCAGTGGATGTGAGGCAACCACTTATCTGCTTAAAGATCCTTGATGACTCTCCTTGGCCCACAGGACAGACAGGTCTAAGCTCTTAGCGTGGCAATCAAGGCCGTTCACAACTGGCTCCAAACTTCTTCCAAGCTCCTATCTCTCCTCCTGTCTAAGTGGCAGTGTTCTGAGCTGGCCACACTGAGCTATTTGCTATTCTTCAATTTGTCAGTTCTCTCACGATTGAGGGCTTTTTTGATAACCCTCCCAATGTAAACACACATGCACATACATCTCTTTCTCTGTCTCTCTGCCTCTGGGTCACATACCCACATCTGTCTGGTGAATGCATCCTCCAGGGCCAGCTCCAATGTTCCCTCTGTGAAAGCTCCCCTTACCAGGCCATTCTGACACACGATGGATTTGGAGGCAGCCCCACCTCTTCCACCACTATCCCTCCAGCCACTACATCAGCCAGTATAATTTCATGTGGATGTTTACAACTGCCTCCTTACTGGTCTCTCAGGTTCCCTTGCCCCCTTCTGGCTGTTCTCCACACCAGAGTGGGCCTTGGAAAATGAAAGTCAGACCTCATCACCCCACCCCCTTTCCCGTTAAAACCCTCCAGTGGTTCCCCATCTTACTCAGCATAAAAGCCAAAGCCCTTCCACCAAATGCAAGGCCCTGCCCTGCCCACACCTCTACCTCCTCGATGACCTTCCTTAGCACACACGCCTGGCTCACCTGGCCCCAGCCTCACCGGCTGACTTGATCTTTCCTATCACTCTAAGCAGCCTGTACCCCAGGTCTCTGCACTTATTGTGCCCTCTGCCTGACCGAGTCACCCTCCAGATAACCACATGGCTGGGCCTTTCCCTTTCTTCAGGTATCTTGAGTGTTGTCTCAGTGAAGCCTTTCCTAACCACTCTATACGAAACACCCTCCCCCATGACCTCGATATTCCCCATGCTTCCCTTGCTTTACTTTTCTCCAAAGCACTTGTCATCATCTAGTATAGTCTACAGATCTTATTTATTTTCTGTCTCTCCTACTGGAATTTTTAGGCTTCATGGTGAAGGACTTCATCACTTCAGCACCTTGAACAGCGACTGGCACACAGTAGGCAATGGGTAAATATTTTTTTTTTAATATCTTTATGTTAGTATAATTTACTAACATAAATTACTTAATTACTATAAGATGTAGTATATACTACATCTTTTATGTAGTATAATTAATGGGTAAATATTGATTGATTGATTGAATGAATGAATGAATGTCTCTTCCTTGAAACCATGAAGTGGGCCAGGTATGCCTTCTGAGGTTCCACAGTACTCAGTGCAGTCCTTGATCTTAATATGTACCATCCTGCAATGTGATTGTCTTTACTTGTCTATCTTACTTCTATAACTCCAGAGTCTAGTACAATGCCTGGCACATAGTAGACACATGGAAAAACTTAATAAACATCTTCTCCAAGGAGAAAGGCCACATCTTATTCACTGTTATATTCCTAGAACTTGACACACAGTAAGTGTTCAATGTATACTTATTGAATTAATGGACTTGATGAATTAATGTCACTCCATTTTCTTGATGAATGAAGCAGAGGTACCAACAGCAACAGTGACATAGGTTTCTTTTAACGAGACTCACAGCTGAGTGAGTAATACATTTACAGGCCTTGTTTCTAGTTCTGGGAGTTTACAAGCTGGGTGAGCTATCCTTATTGCATTCACACAGATACCCATGGAGTTAACACACAAACATGAAACAAATCAGGGAAGCATTTGTGGGTGTGGTCAGGGAAGAGGAAGCTGTAGGAGCTGTGCATTTAGACAGAGCGAGGAGTCAGGCCAGCTGGGCAGGGAAGGATGCATAGAGGGGCTGGGACTCAGGAGCAGTCTAGATGAAGGCAAAGGTCATTGTAAGAGGGGTGTGTGTGTGAGAGAGACACACAGAGAGAGAGAGAGAGAGAGGGAGAGAGAGAGAGAGAGAGAGAGAGAGAGAGAGAGAGAGAGAGAGAGAGCGAGTCTGTGTTTGGCCAAGATAAGCAAGAAGTTTGATAAAGGGGTTTGTGTGTGCTCTCGGGTAAGGCCAGAGAGGTAGGAAAGGGATAATGCAGATGAAGGGGTGTTCCAGAGAATTTATTTGAAAGGAGCAGAGCAGTCTGGTCAAGGGAGGGAGTGTCCGAGTACGGCTATTGCTAGCCTATCTTGCGCTTTTGTGTGAAATGAGAAAAGGTGCCCTCTGGAGATATACCAGCCTCTGGCACAAAGTGGGGCCAGAAGAAAGTGTTCTAGGAAAATCCCACACTAGTGTATCCAGCTTGGTGGGGAGAGAAAAGGAGGCTCCATTCATCCCTTGTGTTGGCATTTTGTCTAGCGCACAAGCTGCCCCACTCGTACAGTGGGCCTATGCTCAGACTGGTGAATGCTCATGAGGGCATTTTGCTAGACGGCCATGAGGTTGAGAATTAGGGTCTTGACGTGTCTGTTCTGTAGTTCATGAATCCATCTTAAGGTGTGAGAAGAGGCTGGCTCAGTCAACCTGTTTACATTTCTCACTTGATCTCCCAGGAGCCTCCTCCGTATAATCCCGCCCCCTGCCCATCCCTGTCCAGACAAGTCCCCAAACTTACCCCATGTTTCCTGACTAATATCCATGCTTATGCTGTTCCATTTTACTCAGGGCTGCAGAAACCCTGTGCATCCTTAAGGTCCATTGTAACCATAGCCTTCTTTCTGAAGCCATTTCTGACTTCCCTAAGCTAATCTCATTTCCTTCTGAACCCTCAGTCAAAATATATATTTATTCACACATCTATGTTTATTTTTTACTTATTGTCAGTCTCCCCTACCAGAATGTAAGTGCCATGAGGGCAAAGGACTCATCAGGTTTGGAGGTTTTAGAGCCTGGCTTGCTTGGTGTCTTGGACACAGTGAGTGATTGATAAGTCCTGGTAGAAGGAATCAATGAATCATAAGTAAAGGAATAGCCCTCATTTCACTCTACATTATATTATGGTTCTTTGCAGAGGTGGTTAACAAAGCACTTATGCACTAGCGGAGCACATTTACCCGTCAGAACAGATGTTGGCCACAGTTCTGGAGCAGGATCAGAGAGGTTAGGTACCGGATCGTGGGCAGCACAGAGGAAGTCTTGGAGGGGTGGCCAGTGTGGCTGGCCTACGCTGGGGGCTGGGGTGGGGGACTCTGAGTAGTGACTACTTACTATTAGATACTGAGGTCTTTCAATATTTTAAAACTGCTATGGCCTTATGCATTCAGTGTGATGTCTCAGCTCTATGGAGTTGGTTTGGGTAATAAAGGACAGTCTACAGGAAGAAGCTGGGCAGCGTCAGGGTGAAGACAACACTGAGGAATGAGAGTGAGAGCTGAGGGGAAGGAATTCCAGTAGGAGAGGAGGGTCTCTGATCAAGCAATGAGTAATCTGAGGGCTGGAGGAAATGTGAGGAGTGGGATAAACAAGCGTGAAGTCCTCCACATTCTGGGAGGCAGGGTGAGATCAACAACACTTTATACTCAGAACGGATGCAGAAGTTAGGTCCAGTTGCCATTTGTTCTAGGCCTTCCTTGATCCTTTAGTTGTCCTGGGAGTGGTCCAGGGTCCTTGAGAGGGGGATAGGTAGAGATGGATGGGATTGTGGGAGTGAGAGGAACACTCCTGGGGCTTAGATTAGTGGCTATTTACCAACTGGTATAGAAGTATTTCCACGTTTTAACAAATGGTGAGCCATACTGATGTGTAGTCATGCTAATATCACTGTAGGCAAAGAATTGTAAATGGATGTGTCCTGCCTAGGCAGGCATAAGAGAGAAATTTTTTATTGAAGTATAGTTGATTTACCATATTGTGTTAGTTTCAGGTGTACAGCAAAGCGATTCAGTTTATATGTATATATATATATATATATATATATATATATGATTATTTTCCATTATAGGTTATCACAAGAGGGAGATTTTTTAAAAGAGGAAAATATTTTCAGAGTAGTAGAAAGCAATGGGAAAGAATGTTAGACCAAAAAGTCTATATCCATTAGACTGTATGCAAAGTAAGGTAGAAATTATGTCTCTGCCTGGCATATATCAATAAATATTTGCTGACGGACCAACCGACTGCTTACAAGATTCTGGTGAACTAAGGAAGGTTCTAGAAAATGTTGAAAGAAATGAGAAAATCAAACCATCATATAAATAGCTCTCCATTTCTACAGTGAAAAAGCACAATAAACCAAAGCGGAGGTATTACTTGTGAATGGAAGAACAATTAAAATAATAAGTTTGTATTTCTTCACCATTCACAAAACTCACAACAATACTATCATCCTCCCCCCATCTTAGACATGTGGACACAGAAGCTTAGAGAGTCCAAATGACCTGTCCAAGATCACATAATAAGTCAGACTCTTGGGAATCAAACCTGTTCTTTTGGCTCTTAATTCTAGTGTTTATGGTTTTCTTTCATTTAATGACTTGATAGTGCTAGATTTTTCATTTTAATCTGGGAATTTTAAATAGGAGTTGCTTGATGCCATCTTATATGTGGAAAAACTCATTAAGCATCTGGAAAATTTCAAGCATCAAAGTGCAAATCCCTTTGTATTTTCTTGGGTACGAATGGAGTTTTAAATTCCCTTCCAGCAGCGAAAAACCTGCTTTCACTTCTTGGTTAAAGGAAGTTTCTGAAGTGGTCTGCTTTGATGGAGATCCAGGAACTCAAAACTGCACCTAGAAAACACATATTTTTCCTCTAGAAATTTTATGAGTGAATAAAATTGCTGGGCTCTAAAGGGACGGATTGTATGTAACTTTCAGTTGAATTGTTTGGGTAGGATGATAATTTATGGGCAGGGGAGGAATAGAAACTTGTCAAGCCAGGAGATGATTCCTAAAAGGTTAGGTAATTTGGCGGACAAGTAAGGGCAGGGTAAGTTGCCTGTTAAAAGAAGGAATCCAAGATGATTTAAAAACCTGCTAGCAAGTTACCTATTTCGTTGCTTCTGAGGAATTGCTTCTTTCCAATATTCGAAACCTCAGAAGTCACTGCATTGCCATACCAATGTTCAGACAGAATAACACTTGTAAATTACTTGGCTCTTACTTGAGCCATTTTGATGACCGGAAATAAGAACACTCAAGTACAACTCAGAAAATTGCTGAGACAGATCAACTTACCATTACCACTCATGAAGGAGAGCTTTGACAGACTCTGGAAAAATTTAAAAGGACTGATGAATGAATGAAATGTAGCCTTTAAAATAGAGGCAAAGTTTGAGAAATTCAATTCAATTGGTTTAAAGAAGCCTAGTCTATAAGAATATTCCAACCTAACAGTTAAGACAAATAATAGCATTGGTAAAATGTCTATATCAACAGGTATGGAATATGGGCAGAACTGGAGAATATTTCAAGGGATTCAGCATACACGTCTGATGTTATACCAAGATCTCTAATGACAAGGGCCTTGAAAATTTACACCAAGTCTTCCCTCACCCCCCAAACTCTATACTTAACACAAACAAACAATTCAGGCAGATGGGAAGGTCCTTTGCTTGGCAGGATCTAGGTCACTGATATGGTTTAAGACCTGGTCCCAAAGCACAGAGATCACAGCAGTTCCTTAATCTGAACCACACCAGTTGAGAGACAAGTGTGAATTTTCTGTGCTGGGTGCCCCACTGGAATGGAGGCAAAAATAAGTCCAGACTACTGAGCAACAAACACTTTTAACACTGCTGAAGGATGCAAAACTAAACATGTAGTCCAAACCAACTCTTGTTTCTTTCTTAGAGCTGTTAGTCTTCTGTGTGAGTGACATAAAAAAGAAATAAAACAGAAAAACCTAGGCAGACAAAAATAATTCAGGATACGTGACAGGGGGCTGTTCAAGGTGTCCTACCAGATCTGGGTCATCTCCAGCAACAAGGTAATTCCCGTTGGGAGACTGTGCACTGGCAGAAACTGAAGTTTGTTCATGATTCTTACCTCAAGCAGAGGAAGTATCCAAAGCCGGGGAGCACCTTTGATTCCCTCTGCCTTTGAAGTCGATGTACTTTCCACTTGAGGCTTGAACTCAGCTGCTGCAAAGACAAGATAATTAAGTCTAAATCATCTAGGGGTGGATTTTTTTAAAAAGCCTCTTTCAAAATGTGACACATAATTGCTTCACTTCAATTACCCAATGACTTGAATGAACACTTCAGTCTCTACCTAGATGAGAAAACAATGCCACCTATGCAATAATTATCTCTCTAACACACACACACAGACACACACACACACGCACACAGACACATACACACACACACACAAACTTGTGAAATTTTTATGGCTACTTCACCAGAATGCTTAAGTTAAGAATTCCAGTGTATTGAAAAAGGTGTTAAATTGTATTGAATTGGAAAAGGAAGAACTTTCCTTTCTGGGATAGGAAGTCAGTTTCCCTCGGTTAGGGTGCCTGCAGTTGGTGGTGCCGCTACTGCCCAAAATACCTTTTGGATTTTTGGTGGATCAGATTCATTCTGAAAGCATGAGGCTTAATAGCCACGCTGACCTAGTTACCATCTTTATCTTTCAGGGTAGGACCAGAGATGGCATTTCTAAGTGTCTGCTCCTTTTCAGGTTATTAATGACTTCCTCTCCCAGAATTCCTTTGAAAGCAGTTTAGGTGGGTTCATCAACTATTATGGAACTTGATGTCTTTAGTCTCTAAATGCCATCCCCACTCCCATCCCCCATGTTTTAGTCATTGAACTTTAGATGGCCAGGGATCTGATTACATGAAGTATCTAAGGTCTTAAATTTACAATTTAAGATAGGGTGATCAACTTCCTGGTTTTCCCAGGATGTAGGATTTTCGGTACTAAAACCAGGAGAGTTCAGGGAAACTAGGTAGAACAACAGGTATGTTTGCTTGGCATTGTCCATACTTCAGACAGCTTTTCAGGTTTCTCATCTAGCGTACCTCCAGTTATATATACCTGTTTAACCTCAGTTTTCTTAAGGGTAAAGTGGGGATAAAATTAGTATCTACCTTGATAGGTGCTGGTGGAAAAAAGAAACAGATAACTGTCTTAGTCTGTTTGGGCTGCTATCAAACTATCACAGGCCAGTATAAACTAAGCTAAATGTATAAGCTAAGATGACATAGCTTATATATAACAGATTTATTGCTCACTGTTCTGGAAGCTGGGAAGTCCAAGATCAAGGAGCCAGCATGGTCACATCTTGGTTAGGACCCTCGTCCTGATTCATAGCCAGATCCACTGGCTGTGTCCTCACATAGTGGAAGGAGCTAGGGGTCTCTCTGGGGCCTCTTTTACAAGGCGTTAATCCCCCAAACCCCACCTACTAATACCATCACCTTTGGGGTTAAGATTTCAGCATATGAATTTTGAAGGGACACAAACATTCAGACCATAACAATAACCTAGGAGAATGTGCTTTTAAACTGTAAAGTGCTATAAAATCTTTATTCATTAGTATGTGGCCATATCAATGGTGATAGGAGCCTGAAGACACTCTCCTCATAGAATCATTTATTGTCAGTCATCTCAGTCATCATAGATTAATTCATTCATTAAATCCACAAATACTGGGCACCTACTAAGTACAAGTTCCTCTTCAGTAAAAAAGACAGAATTCATATCCACATGGAGTTTATCTTCTAGCAGATGGAGATATAAAATAAACAAACAACAAGACAAACCAAAATGTGTAGATTGTCACGTGCTATGAAGGAAATAAGGGAATGTAGTTGATGGGGTGGTCTTGTAATTGGTAGGGTGATGTAACTGGGGGAGAAGTGCTTCTTCTGTTAGGATGGGCCAGGAAGGCTTCTCTGAGGAGGTATATCTGAGCATTAGAAGCCAGGCAGGCAAAGCCCTGAAGGGAATAGGGTGGAGGGAACAGCAAAGGTGGGCCAGTGTGTCTGGAATGTAGCAAGAGCAGAAATAACGATATTAGACATCTAAATGGCTGCGTCAGGTGGGTAGTTGGAGTTCCCGGGAGAGGTCAGCTGGAAATATGAATTTCCAAGTCATCATGCTAGAGGTGGAATTAAAGCCACAGAAGTGGTGAGATCATCTGAGGCAGTTTCCCGTGGTGCTTGTGCTACAGGAGGGGTGCGGGATAATTTCAGGTGATACACAGATAAACACTTGATGTTGTATTGTGATTATTTTTAATGTATTAGAAAAAAAACACCCCAGAACCAGACATGGAAGAAGATGAATGACATGACACAGCACATGGAATAAAATTCGTAAAGTACCTCTAAATATTTCTGTCTTTTCCTCTGAGTCTTCCCTGGGCGGCAGCATCACCTTCTCCCCTCTTCTCTCCCTCTTCTCTCTCTCTGTCTCTGTCTCATCTCTCCTCCTCAGAGCAGCTTCTTACCTCTACCTTCCTCCCCTGCTCCCCTACTTCTCTCCCACCCCCTTTTCTTTTCTCAGTCAGAAATAGCTCTTGCCCAGCCTCCTGTTTCCATCTCATACTCATTAACCAGCTGCATAAGAATCTGCTCGACTTAAAAGGACGCTGAAAATTGTAAAATAACAGTATTTTTTTCTGATGTAAATATTAATTTTTCTTTTTGGCACAAAAGGCCTGAAAGTCCAACCACATCTTGGTGAAAACCCGTCATTGGTGTGTAACTTAGGACTTTGGGCACAGGATTTCAGGAGAAATCTTGGGAAGGGTGGCCTGGATGAAGGAGAGGGGAGAGGATCTAAAATGGTGGGGGAACCCCATCCTGCAGTCCTTGAGAGCTCTGGCCTCACATGGACCTGCCCTGCCCACCCCAACTCTGAGATCTTGGGCAATTAACTTCTTTCCTTTGAGTTTCAGAGAATCTTCTGTAAAAGTGGGGATCACATTTACTTTGAAGAGTCATTATAAAAATTAAACTAAGTGAACTAGCACATATTAAATTTTTCCTACAGTGTCAATAAATTAGATGCATTATTACTTGTATTTCCCCATTACTATTTTCAATTAATAATTTAAAAGATATTTTAAACAGCTTTTATTTTAAAGAAATGTACAAAGTTTAATTTTCATGATATTTACTTTTTACATTTACCCTCTATTTGGAAATTAACAAAAGTTTTCCCTTTATATAGCTTTTCCTTTCAAACAAATTTACATACACTTTAAGATTTGGGTTGACTTATGGGGAAAAATAAATAATTAGTACAGCTCATGTGGGACACGGGATAATTTTGGGAAAAGGTGCTCAGATAATTGAAGTTTAAGAAACAAAGATAGAAGAAGAGATTACAGCTGGTCTGTTTTATTTTATTTGAAAGGGGTCTTAGAAATCAACTCAAGCCTTACTTTCTGTTCAAGGAATTGTTTTCAGGTAAATTTGGCAAATTTGTCATTAAAAACAACAAAAGCTGGGCTTCCCTGGTGGCGCAGTGGTTGAGAGTCCGCCTGCCGATGCAGGGGACACGGGTTTGTGACCTGGTCCGGGAGGATCCCACATGCCGCGGAGCGGCTGGGCCCGTGAGCCATGGCCGCTGAGCCTGCGCGTCCGGAGCCTGTGCTCCGCAACGGGAGAGGCCGCAACAGTGAGAGGCCCGCATACAGCAAAAAAAAAAAAAAAAAAAAGCCAGCAGCACTATATCCAGTTGCGTTATTTATTTTAGTTTTAGTTTTTCAGATTTAATTAAAGATTTGCTGGGAACTCCTACTTATCCAGCCTACTCACGATGATAATCTAGAATGCAAGCTTAGTTATTTCACTTATTAACGGCTGACAGTACATTAGTCTCTGCAGATCAAGGGGTACCTTTAATTAATACTCCAAAAGAAAAATTATAATCAACTAGCTAGAATCTTCATTAAAGAAAGATACAGGAACGGAGCATCCTAGTTCTTGGTTTCTAGAATGTCTGGGCTATTCCTGTATAGAAAGAAGCTATCTGAATATAAGACTTTTTCTGAGCTTGGAAACAAATTGTTATTCTTTGTGGGAGACAAAAGTGCGAGGGAATAGGGATTCTGTGTATACGAGGGGATGGGCCAGATAAAGCAGTTTTAGGGCAAAAATACTGTGAGTTCCCATCCCTCACCATCCCCTAACATTTTGTGTTGATGAAATCTGGTTAAAAGGAAACCCTGAAGAGGGATATAACAGGTAGAGAAAAATAAGAGCTAACATTTATTGAGTGTTTGTTATGCTCTGGGCATCATCTGTATTTGAACTCATTAAATCCCCACCAAGACTGTTCGAGGTAATAATATTATTTCCATTTTATAGATGAGGAAACTGAGAGGTTAAGTAATTTTGCCTAAGTTTAGGCATCACAGCTAGTTTGTGGAGCCAGGATTCAGGACCCAGGTGCTCCATTTCTGGGAGTCTAGGAACCACTATTGTTAAGATTACTTTTATGGTTAAGATTACTTTTATGGTTAAGTTACTTCTGGGAGGCTCTTAACCACTATGCTAAGCTGCCTTTTTTAGGAAGGTCACAAAAGGGCAACCCACAGTCTAGGGGATGTGGAAGGTGAGGAGAGAGAAGGATGCTGTTGCTAGGCAACACATCTGGTTTTCTGAGCTGCTAATTGAATCTGAGTAACATAGATATATGTGTTTGTTTGAAATTGCTAGTTTATTACTGACCAGAGGAAACTGCCTGGAATTAGTGTAGCTCTTGAGAGAGAGGAGTGATTCTACAGTTCACTCTGGAAGGGCTGGGGAGACATCTGGCAGAATCACCCTATTGCCTGGCAGCATTTCTCCCTCTCTTCCCAGCTCGGTCCCAGGCCATACGTCCCTGATGTCTGTGTGATGACGTTTCTGGGTGGGCACTGATGACTGACTCAGACCATGGCCTCTCCCACCAATCACACTCTGGAATGGTTTATGGCAGTGACTCCCTCCTGGTTTTGAAAAATAAACAACCCCACTTACCCACTGAACCTTCACTTATTGTTGGTTATTTAAAAGGGAGTTACTTTTTATTTTTTGCAGTTCAAAGTGAATTTAAATTCATGCTAAAATTTAAAGGTACTTTCATATAACTTTTATGAGACATGAGAAATCTTGTGGAACCAAGATAGTGTGATACATCTCTGAAATGTCTGAGAATCACTGGTGTGAGCCCAATTCCACTAGACAAGGATTTCTCTACCTTGGCACTATTGACATTTTGGTCATATCATTCTTTGACTTAGGGGGCTGTCCTGTGTATTGTAGGATGTTTAGCAGCATCCCTGGTCTATACCCTGATGTTAGCACCACTCCCTCTTACCTGAATGGTAACAAAAATGTCTCCAGATTATGCCAAATATCCCTTGATGGGCCTTCACTGAGAACTGAGAAAGTAAAGTATATTATTCTATCTAGCTCTTGCAGTAGAAAATGTCACTCCTCCTAAGGATCAGATTCTAGTATTCCTAATAACACTTTTGTTAATTACCCAATAAATATGTGAATAACATTCTCTTGGTAAAAGACTCAAACAATACTGAAGTTTACAGATCAAACTGTGGAAATCCTTAATGTCCCCCACCCACTTTGTCCCTATCTCCTGTGTGCCTCCTCTTAGTTTGCTTTCCAAGGACATTTTTATTTCTTTCTTTCAATACATTCCAGACATCTTCATTTGGTCCATGGATAGAGCCTTAATCATTTCAACAACTACTGCAGATGTTTTTTTCTAACTTGTATGGCTCTAATTTCAACTCACAACATTTTTAAAAGCCCATTTCAATTTCTCACCAAGCACAGCTACCTCAAAAGTCTTTTCTAAGTGTTAGAAAAACGCAGAACAACCACGGCAAGAACACATGGCATAAACCAGTGGTTCCCAAAGTGTGGTTTCATAGTAGCATCATCTGGAAACCATTAGAAATGCAAATTCTCAAGCTCCTGTCCAGACTTGCTAAATTAGAAACTCTGGAGATGGGATTCAGCAATCCGTGTTTTAAAAAGCCCTCCAGGTAATTCTGAGACACCCTAAAGGGCAAGAACTATTGGTATGTAGATTAAAGCTCAAGATTCAAGAAAATGGATTGGATTTGTAAGAAAACATCGAAACTAAGGCCAACCTGACTTTCTCTGGTAGAGACAGAATGAGGATCTTACTTTTCCAAACAGATATATGAAGAACTCAGAGATAAGCATGGATATCTTTATGTCATTCTGAACCTTGCTTAACCAGCCCTCACATTGGAGCTGGGGGTCGAGTGTTGTTGAAGATGGATAAGACCTGCCTTTTCCCCTTGAGAAACTCGTAACCTAGGATTGGAGAAAGTCTGGTGCACAAATAATTGCACTATGATGGGATGGTTAACATTGAAAAGGATGTTCCAAGTGCTCTCAGAGCAAAAGGAAGGAGCAACACACTCTGCTTAAAAGAAGGGTAGGAAAGGTTTCCAGGTGGAAGGATAAGCATGTGTAAAAGCACAGAGGCAAACTGACTTGGTGCAAGAGGATATAAAGGGGAGGAGGAGAGGCTTTTTGGAGTAGTGCAGTGTGAGTAGTCTTCAGGGATCATCGGGCAGATTGAAGAAAGAGGTTTCTAGCTAGATTATAAAGGGTTTTTGTCATGCACCGAAATTTGATTTACATTCAGAAAACTAACAGAAACTCAACAATAAGAAAACAAACAGCCTAATTAAAAGTGGGCAGAAGATCTGAACAGATACCTCACCAGAGAAGATATATAGATGGCATATAAGCATATGAAAAGATGCTTGGCATTGCCATTAGAAATTGCAAATTAAAACAATGACATACAACTTATACACCTCTTAGAATGGCTAATTTTTTTAAAAAAAAACTGACAATACAAACTGATGGTGAGGATACAAAGCAGTAGGAGCTCTCGTTCATTGCTGATGGGAATGAAAAATGTTTTCCACTTTGGAAAAGTCTGGTACTTTCTTACAAAACTAAATCTAGTCTTACCATATGACATAGCAGTAGTATTCCTAGGTGTTTATCCTACTGATATGAAAACTTAGGTCCACATAAAAACCTGCACAAACACAAATGTTTCTAGCAGCTTTATACATAATTGCCCCCAAATGGAAGCAACCTTCAATAGGTGAATGAATAAACTGTGGTACATCCATACAGTGGAATGCTATCCGGCATTAAAAAGAAATGAGCTATGGGGCTTCCCTGGTGGCGCAGTGGTTGGGAGTCCACCTGCTGATGCAGGGGACACGGGTTCGTGCCCCGGTCCGGGAAGACCCCACATGCCGCGGAGCAGCTGGGCGCCATGGCTGCTGGGCCTGCACGTCTGGAGCCTGTGCTCCGCAATGGGAGAGGCCACAGTGGTGAGAGGCCCGCGTACCACAAAAGAAACAAAAAAACAAAACAACAAAAAAAGAAATGAGCTATGAAGCCACAAAAAGACATGGATTAATTTTACATGCATATTGCTAAGTGAAAGAAGCATGTCATGAAGCCATAAAATGCTACATACATAATTGATTCCAATTATATGATATTCTGGAAAAAGCAAAACTCAAGAGATGGTAAAGAGGTCAGTGATTTCCAGGGGTTGGTGGTGGTAGAGGAGGTTGAAGCACAAACAGTTTTTTAGGTTGCTGAAAGTATTCTGTCTGATATCATAATGGTGAAACAAGATATTAAGCGTTTGTTGAAACCCATAGAACTTTACAGATCAAAGAGTAAACCTTAATATATGTAAAAAATGTATGTGTTAAAAAAATCACTTAGGAGATTGAGGGATCCAGGATGGTATGCAGAATGTGACAAAAGAATCTAAATGTAGTACAAATGTGCAAAACAACTTTGCTGAAGGGGGTGGGGGAATAAGGTACGGACCTACGTAACTTAAGGAGTGAATGGAGTCTGTAAGACTAAAGGCAACAGGAACTGTTGTTTAAGCACTGTACCCTAGTTAATAATGTCGTTTCCCACAGGGGTATGGGTTCACAATTCTGAAACCACTATACCTGTCCACTGGAATTGAACAATTAAGTAAATGGATGGTAGATGGTGGAGGCCAGAGGTTACAGATGAGCAAGGGAGGAGGCCAGAACTGATCCATGTGGTAATGGATTAGAGTTGAAGACATCAGAATGAACTCATGCTTAGCTTAATACAGACATAGACAGTTACGTATAGAAACAGTATACACCTGTATGTATCTCCTTGCTCTGTCAGCTGAGAAGGGCTAGAAGCAACACCACCCCAATAGCAATAGGACACACCTGGCCCCAGATCTTGGCTTCTAATACCATTTTCCAATAAAAAGGAGCTAGGGTTCCTTGGGAAAATGGCTGATTCTGGGTTTGGCACAGTATATACACAAAATGATCCTGGAGCATCTTATAGTGCCAGGAAGAAAATGCTCAAAAACGGAACAAAACAAATGAAAAAAAATCCTCAATGATGTCAAATAGCCAACTGCAAGATCTCCCAATGGCCAAAGCTAGAACAATCTGGCAACAAAATAAATGGAGTAGTGTTGGACTATAAGCCAAAGTATAAAATAAATATAAGTCTAAATTGATATAAATAAATGACTGCATAAATAGAGAATAGACAAATCTGTGTAGAAATTAAAATGATTTATATACTCAGCCCCTAAAGAGGTAGGGTAAAACTCCTACTCTTTAAGTGTGGGCTGCACATAGTGATTTTCATCCAAAGCGTACAATATAAAAAGGAGAAAAAAGGAGTAACTTTACAGTGGAGATGCCAAGTGATCTGGGTTAACATCAAATGTGAGGAGTCATCCTGACAGCATGCACTATTGCTATGATGTGATGACAACGGTGCTTTGCTCACTGGTCTTCTTCCCAGAAGCACATTACCTCAGTCGCGATATTTTCATGAGAAAATATCAGACAAATCTCAATTGAGGGACACTATATAAAATACCTGACGAGTACTCCTCGAAACTGTCAAGGTCATAAAAAACAAGGAAAGTCTAAGAAACTGTCACAACCAAGAGGAGCCTAGGAAACATGACTACTAAATGTAATGTGACATCCTGGATGGGATCCTGGAACAGAAAGAGGACGTTAGGGAAAACCCGAGAAAATCTCAATAAAGTATGAATTTCAGTTAATAAAGATATCTATATTAATGCATTGATAGTGACAAATGTGTTATACTAATCTGTTAATAATAGGGAAAATTGGGTATGTGGTATATAAGTTTTCACAATAATTCTGTAAGTCTAAAACTGTTCTAAAATAAAACATTTATTAAAAAAACCCTAGAATATAAAAAAAGAATGTATATATGTGTATAACTCAGTCGCTTTGCTGTGCAGCAGAGATGGCACAACACTAAATCAATTATACTTCAATTAAAAAAAAAGCCTGCGGAGAACCAATGAATGGATTCCCAAGGAAGAGTGACATCACCCCTTTGTAATATTCTATGAAATGGTCGATTTAAAAAAAAAGAGGGCTTCCCTGGTGGCGCAAAAAAGAAAAAAAATAATAAATTTCTGAACTCTCTGAAAGTCGCAGTGCCTGTTGCTTGCAGACATTAAGGTGACATCCTGCAAAAGAGAAAAACAAATTCTCATGGAGGGAGACAGTTGAGAGAAGGGGTATATAACATTCTCATGGACCTTTGAGGGTTTTGTTTTTTTTTTTGCGGTACGCGGGCCTCTCACTGTTGAGGGCTCTCCCGTTGTGGAGCACAGGCTCCGGACGCACAGGCTCAGCAGCCATGGCTCACGGGCCCAGTCGCTCCGCGGCATGTGGGATCTTCCCGGACCGGGGCATGAACCTATGTCCCCTGCATCGGCAGGCGGACTCTCAACCACTGCGCCACCAGGGAAGCCCACCTTTGAGGTTTTGAAGGACTGTCCTCCAGAGTACCTTAAATCTTGGCTGTGCCTTGGAGATGCTCTGGTTCTCTTCCAGGACCCTCCTTCACTCCTGCGGTTGGATTGCTTCCTCCATCCTAGTGGTTACACTCTATTGGGCAAAGGATTGAGATGAAGATCCCAGGTGGATTAGTTTTCTATTGTTGTCCTAACAAATTACCACAGGCTTAGTAGTTTAGAACAAAAACCAAAAGGTATTATCTCACTGAATCTTTACAGAATACTCGCCTGATAATATTAGTTTTTACTATTTCATTTTTACAGGTTTATGTAGTACTAAGAGGTAGACCGTGGTAGATGGTCTCTAAAGATGGACACCATATTAGCCTTGCACTACTTCCTCCAAGAATATTATTTCTGAGAGAAATAAACTTATATCTTGCTTAGGTCACTGTTAAGTCAGATCTCTGTTCGAGTAGCTAAAGCTATATCCTGACACAGCCTCCAAATATAGCCATTTTCCAGGTTCTGTGATTTCTGTCTCTGAACCATCTTCCCTGCCCATCCCATTGTCTCCATTCCCACTGTCATGCCACCAGTTCCTTCTTCTCTCAGTTACCAAGAGAGCCTCCTAACTGGGCTGGTCTCTGGTCTAATGGTTTTCAAGGCAATTCTCCTCCTAGGGGATAGGGGAGATTTGGCAAAGTCTGGAGACATCTTTGGTTCTCACAACCAAAGGTGTGGTTATACTGGCGTTTTGCTGATAGACATCGGGGATGGCGCTAAATATCCTACAAGACACGGAACAGTTCTCCACAGCAAAGGCTTGTGAGGCCCAAACGTCAACAGTGCTGAGGTTGAGAAATCCTGACCTAATACATCTCCTGTATTCTACCATGATAGACTCACACTTCAGATCGGACCCATGCCCCTTGTGGTACACACCTGTCAGACTCACGGCTCCTATCATCCTGTGTGCAGCCTTCCTACCTTTGGGGAAATCCGACTATTATAAGTCTCACTTCTTCAAGGAAAGAGTTCAGACCCGAAATTCCAGCCTCCTTTGCAGCCAGGTCTCAGTTTCTTCCCTCAATCAGATGCAGCCCATGAGCCTTTGATTTAGAAGTGAGCAAGGTAAGGAAACAGGCTCTTTTGGACGCTTGGCATTTTCTTGGTGTAAAAACATGTGGCATTTGAAGGTGGCCGCCATTCCTCAGCGGTTCCTGGCAGCGGTGACAGCAGCTTCCTCCAGGGTGGGATAGGGCGGCAGCAGCAATCCCAGTCATGAGAGTTTCCTCATCAGGCCAGTTCTTCAGCGTGGTTCTGAGCGTCATTCCTGGAAGCTTAACTTGGAGTCACTTCCCCAGAATCCCCGAGCTATCCGGTTTCCTTTTAATGTGTTCTTCTTCTGCATAGTCAGAGTCAGCCTCTATTGCTCAGAACTAAGAACCCCGATAGATAAAGCCTCCCCTGCTTAAAACTCTTCAGTGGCTTCCCATACATTCTAGAATGTGTCCCAAATCCTTTGCTTAGCTCGAGGCTCTTCTTTATCTGGGACATACCCACTCTGTCCATGTTGAGCCACCCTGGTCCTGTCACCCTTCCTCAATTCCGTATTGCTTTGCCACTCAAGAACCCTCCTGGCACAGCAACCCTTCTCTATGTACCCCAGTCCCCAGGGCTGTTCTCATCTCTATCATAAACAAGATACATTTTATGCTCTGACACAAGAGGTGATTCACTTACCTGTAAGCTCTGCACGGGTAGGCACATGTCTTCTCAGCACCTAGGACAATATCTGGCACAAAGCAGGTGATCAATACATTCTTATTTAATGAATGAAGGTCAGTGTGGAAAAGCACTGCCACCTATCGGGAGAAACTTTATTCAACTCTTATGATTTGGAAAATGGTTATCATACAAGGATGAAACTTGATGATACTTTCTTCCTCACCTAAGTCATCATCCTCATCATTATTGCCAAGCCCTCTGTGGTAGCCAGACTCCCAGATGGCCCCCAATGATCCCTGTCTCTTGGTACTCAGCCCTTTGTGTTGATTCTCCCACACTGAAGGCTTGGATTGTGATCAACAGAATGTGAGTGAAGTGATGGTGTGTGACTACTGAGGTGAGATCATTAAAGACATTGTGGCTTCTGCCTTGGTCTCTCTGGGATCACCGGCTTTGTGGGAAGTGAGGATGTCACTGGGACACCCAAGTGGCCCGATGGGGAGGTCCATGCAGTGAAAAGCCGAGGCCTCCGCCAACAGTCATGTGATTGAGATACTCCAGTCCTGACCTACACCTTGACTGTAATCTCATGAGAGACCACGACACAACCAAACAGCCAAGCCAAGCCCAAACTCCTGCACTGTAGAGAATCTGTCGGACAATAAATGTTTGTTGTCTTAAGCTGTTAAGCTTTGGGGTGATTGTTATGCAGCGACAGATTACTAATATACTCTTCTACACAGATCACTGACTACAAGCTGTTTTAATTTTGCTGTAAGGGCAGAAACTACCAGAGCCTGGGCTCAACCTAAGGTTTCTCAGAGCGTATGGTGCTGGAGCCGGGCACCACGGCGGAAATGGGGTAAGAACCAGGTACACCTGGGCCTTGCGGAGTGGCGAGTAGTTTTGCCTGTAGCATCCCTTTCAGCGTTAACGTTCTCCAGGCACAACTGGAAAGAGGTGACACAGCGACAAACCAGGAGAGCCCCGACACCCGCTCCTTGCGGCAGACTGGGCGCTTGCGCAGTGTGCTCCTAGGGCTCCCAGGGGCCGCTGTCGCGCGCCGAGTCATCGATCGCGAGTTCCCGAGCGGCCTGGCTCCACGCAGGCCACCAGCAGCCTGCTCGCGGGGTGGGCTCCAGGGGCGCCCTCAAGAGAGGGGGTGGGGCACTCATGTTCCAGAGACCGGCCTGGCGGGGCCTTCACGCCGTTACACCTCAGCATCCCCATAGCTCCGGCAGTCGCCGCTCCGGGGCCGCTGCCGCTTGAGGCGGGAGCTGACCGGCCGCGCAGTCGTCACCGTCGCCGCCTCGGGGTCCCGGCCCCTGGGCCCTCCTGCGGCCGCCATGAAGCTGCGGGTCCGGCTTCAGAAGCGGACCTGGCCGCTGGAGATGCCCCAAGCGGAGCCAACGCTGGGGCAGCTGCGCGCGCACCTGAGGCAGGCCCTGCTGCCCACCTGGGGGTACAGGTACGCGAGAGGCGGGGGCGCGCGCGGCGGGTCGGGGAGGAGCGCCGGGTGGCGCGGGCACGCCCCGAGCTGTCACGTGAGGCCGGGCGGCGAGCTGGGCGTCGTGGGGCCAGCGGTCCTGCACTGTGACGCGCAGGCCGGGCGGCTAGCGGGTGCTGGGGCTGCAGCGTGCGGGGTCCCGGCTCCCAGAGGTCATGGCCCGGCGTCTCGGGGGCTCCGATCTCCTCCAGGGTGAGGCTTCGCTTCCGTGTTTGCAGTAAACGAATCTAGGGATAGGCTAGGATGCAAAATTCTCACGTCCTTTGAAATGTAAGGTTGGAAATTATGGGTTTGGCTTGGGTTAAACCTTTCGAGGCTCTCAGGGGTTTAAGTTCACCACCTCCAGCTGTCGGAGTATTTCAGTGAAAAAGTTTGGAAAGTACTAGAAGGAGTTAGAAACCTGCCCTCCATCCGAGGCCACCTGTAACCTGGTACCGCTGCTTTCAGGCTGCAGTCACCTTAAGGCTCCGTTAAGTGTTTACGTGCCAGGCGCCGCTGTGGGCACTTTGACTTCCCAGCTGCAGTTTTACAAAGTGCAGTGTGTCGGTCTGTTTCAAATAATAATATTTTCCTGGGCAAGATGTTGCTTTTTTTTTTTTCTTTTTGGATAAAAACTATGGAAAACGTTGGCCTTATGATGACCCCGGAGAGCTTGCAGTTTGGGGGCAGTGACATTGAGAAGTAATGGATCAAATTCTGTTATTTATGGGGCCGCAGACGAGGCTGCTTTGTTTCCAAAAGGGTATCCTGGGGACAGTAATCTGGGAGTAGCGGGACAAACGTAAGGGTGGTCCTCTTCAAATACTGAGCTACCGAATTGGAATTTGAGTGTGCTGAGAAAAAATAAAAAAGATGTTCTTTGGGGCTTTTTAGATGAATTCTTCAAAAGAAAACCTTTCTGTTAATTAAATGGTTCCTTCGTAAGACTTTTATAAACTTACATTTTATTTTTAGGGAATTCGGTAAAATGAGGCCGTATTATGAACGTCTCATCCTTTCATTTTTCAGGTTAAGACAATGCTGCATTCAAAGTCAGCCTTTTTTCCTCCAAATTAAAAACATAAATACAGAAAATGAGGCATTGACATAACTCCTTTTAGGTATTATATTAATTGACATCCTGTTGTTTTTTTCTTGTTGTTAAACCTAAGTGTTTTGTATGCTGGCATCATTACCCCACCACGAGTTGTCAAAATTAACTTCTCTTTTTATTTTCATATATATGTATATATTTTTTATTATTTTTTAATTAGGTGGGACACTCTGGAAAGGATGTGAAACGCAATATGATGCTTTGTTTACCCAAGAGCCCAAGTTAGTTTCGCTTTCAGGTTTGTTTTTACGGTCGAGGCTGGTTAACTGGAAGGAATGTTAAGCTTCAGCTTGTGAAAGTAAATTCATTCTTCTGAAAGTATGTTCATTTTATAATAAATGGGCAGTTTAAAAATGTGTCCATATGATATTATTACTTTTAAAGTGTCCTTGCTGAGCAAGTGGATCTGGGATTGTCATAAAATAATTCTCAAAGGCCTGGAGTTTCTAGGGTGGCAGTTCCTGATGAAAATATTATTTTTTTTCACAGTTTCAGAAAACAGGATCAGTAACGACTCTCCTGGAAAACCATATATTACTCTAGAAATAGCTCTTCCCTTTTTCTAAAGGGGAGGCCGACATTTTAGTAAGCAGACATTTCTTTACCTTTTTTACAAATCGATATTTGAACAAACATTGTGCTAGATACCATTAAAAAAAACAACCTTGTGCTGTGACAAATGATCCATAAAAACATAGTTCATTTGAGGTGTTTTTCTTTTTTTCTGCTAAAAATGGGATGTTGTTTTTCTGGGTAGTTGGCAGATTTTCAACATTTATCAACACATTTGAAAACAGAGGCATTGCTACTTATTTTCTAATAAGCAGGAGTAGTTGTTAAAGCTTCAGTAATTTCTCTACCAAAGACACTTTAATTGGTAAGAAAAAATGTATATGTGCAAGAAAAAACATAAATGAATTATGGGGAGCACTTTTGAAAATGTAGCATTTTAAGAACAAATAAACAGAACATGATTTTCAAAGGACTTCATCCTTTGTTAACCTCTCAAAAAGTTAATGAAGTTAACATTGCTGAGTGTACATGTCTTATAAAATGTTCTGCAGTGGTTTGTTAATTATTCCTCACCACTATGTAATGAAATGATGATGGTTCTCTCAAGGTCAGATAATCTGCGATGCAGAAAGGATGGGAGTTCCTTGCTTCAGACTAATTTGAGCTCTTAGCTTGTTTAGCACAGGGTTTTTGGATTTGTGTTGTCTTTCACATAAAAGACATTATAACTGGTGCTCAGTAAGAAGGTTGAACTTATCAGTAGGAGGGATGAATTTATACTCAGTCATCTACATGCACTCATCTGACTTTTTGTGGTTATGAATATTTGTTTAGGACATGGGTCTAGTATTTTGGAACCATAAGCTAACTGTCCTGGAAGGATATTGTTAATTAGCCCTGATTTCAGCCTCATCTTGATCTCTCCATCTAATGTTTATTGGTTGCATCCATTCCACAAATACTTGTATTTGCCAAGTGCTGGAGATAACAGTTTTGAACTAGACAGACAAGGTACCCATCTCATGAAACTTACTTCCTAGTCGTAGGGGTGGGGAAGAGAGCGGATAAGCAAATAAATATGATATTTTCAAATAGCAATGTTGTAATAAAAATAAAACAGATGAATGAAATAGAGTGATGGAGGCAGGTGGAAGGCTTCTCTGAAGAGGTGACATTTGGGTTGAGACCTGGATGATGAGAAAGACTCAAGTCATTTGAAGAACTGGAAGAGCAGATGCAGAGGCCCAAAGGCTGCAGTGAGGTTGATCTGTTTTTAGGAATGAGTCGAATGGAGAACAGCTAGTAAGAGGATGGGTGAGGTAGGAGAAGTGGGTCAGATGTTGGGCTTTGGAGGGCATGTTAAGGATTCTATTCCAAGGTCAAATAGAAGCCATTGGAGAATTCTCAGCAGAGGAATGATGTAATATTATTTATATTTTAAAGAGGCTATATTTCATTGAATCTCAGTTGCTGTCAATCCTGAGATGCACATTCTTATGTCACACTAAGTGAAAAAATGCTGTCCATTAAGCTGTGATGTCATCGATTGTAAGAAGCATCCTGTTTCAAAGATGACAAACTATAAAAAAGTGTGTATCTTAGAATTGATGAAAACATGGATTAATGATAGAGAATTACTGATCCTATCCCCCAGGCTAGAATCTATAACCTAAGCATTTGGTAATAAGAATAAATAATTTTGATACTTTTTCCAAGCTTTGGCTTTCCTCTTATCTTCGTTTTGTTTTCATTAGTTCTGCTGGGGTCATACCATGTACCTTATATATGTTTCAAATGTATTATTGTGGGTAATGGTAATAGGTAGCCTTACTATCCTTATCCGTCTTTCTTGGCAGTTCTGATACCCGGTTTGCAATTACACTGAACAACGAGGATGCCCTCACTGGAGATGAAGAGACCTTGGCTTCATATGGGATTGTTTCTGGGGACTTGATATGTTTGATTCTTGAAGATGCCATTGCAGCACCTAACTTACCTTCATCCACAGATTCAGAGCATTCCTCACTCCAGAATAATGACCAACCCTCTTTGGCCGCCAGCTCCAGGCAGTCCAGCATGCAGGATGAACAACTGCGTGATTCATTCCAAGGACAGGCAGCCCAATCTGATGCCTGGAATGTTGGAAGTATGGTGGGTATTAAAATCGAGACAAGAAATGGAGTAGTTGATAAATCATACTGAATAGCTCAATTGAATTCTGTACCAGTCAGGATAATTATCATCAGTAGACTGCAGATTATAATCTTATAGAAAATTTATTTTTATTTTAAATACTTTATTTTTATTGAAGTATAGTTGGTTTACAATATTATATTAGTTTCAGGTGTACAACGTAGTGATTCAATTTTTTAATAGATTGTACTCCATTTAAAGTTATTACAAAATAATGGCTATACTTCCCTGTGCTCTACAATATATCCTTGTGGCTTATTTATTTTATACACAGTAGTTCATATTCCATATCCCTATCTTGCCCCTTCCCCACTGATGACCACTAGTTTGTTGCCTATACCTGTGAGTCTGTTTCTGTTTTGTCGTATGCATTCATTTGTTTTATTTTTTAGATTCTACCTATAAGTGATAACATAGAGTATTTATTTGTGTTTCTCTCTCTGACTTATTTCACTAAGCATCCTGCCTTCTAGGTCCATCTATGTTATTGCAAATGGCAGAATTTAATTCTTTTTTTTATGGCCGAGTAATATTCCTGTGTGTGTGTATTTTAAGTTTTTAAAATTAAAAAAATTGTCACCTCAGACTCTAGATGCTGATGTAAATTTGAAAATATGTGCACTGATGTTTTCTTCCCAAACGAGCTCCTCCTCTGTCAGTGGCAGTACTGTTTTCCTGAGCTTAAAACTGTGGAATGATTTTTGACTCCTTATATCCAGCCCCTTAACAAGCCCTGCCTGTTTTTCCTTTCCATTCCAGGCTTCCAGTGTGTGTTCTTCAGTTTGCTTTCTGG